GTTACTCTCCTCTGAATACTCTTTGATCCAGCGATACTGGTGACTGCCTTGCTCTTCCTCGCACAATCTCCAGGTGCCATGCATTTTTGCTGCCCATTCCCCGTGCCTGGAATGCTCCTCTGGCTTCTTTCAAGTCTCAGATACAATCCCATCTTCCCCAGGATGCCTCCCACACTCCCTTTAATCCCAATGTCTTCCCTCTGTCATTATCACCAATTTATGTTGCATCTCTCCTGTCTGTACATAAATGTGGTCACCCGGTACAATGGGTAGCACACTGGACCCAGCGTCAGGAAGACCAAAGCTCAAATCCAGGCTCAGACACTTATTATGGTGGTGTCTTGTCTTCCTCAGTGTCCCCATAGGTAAAACAGAGGTAATAATAGCACCCATCTCCCAGGGCTGTTGTGAAGATAAAATTGGGCCACCTTCAAGCTCTCTAGAAATCCCAGTGATCATATTAGTAGGAGTAGTCGTTTTGGAGACACTGTCTCTCCTGTTAGATTGTAAACCTGTTGAGATCAGGAAGTGTTTTTGCCTTTCTTTGCATCCCTAGCACTTAACATAATGCGCAGCACATAGTAGGTGCATCATAATGTTTACTGACTGAAAAAGCTTATTGGCTCGACTTGAAATATCTGCCCCAAATATACACACTGATACACCAACTCAGCAGACTGGCCACTCCCTACATGGAGATGAGAGATGTTTTGTAACTGGGAGGCAGGAGTCTGTTATCCAAAGTGTTAGTACTCCAGAGAATGCCTAACAATCCTCAGAAGTCATCGATACCTTCTCAAACATGTTCCCCTCCCATATCCCTGTCAGGAACTCTAAAAGGTTGTGTCCCTAATTCCCATACTGGTTCAGTCCCGTTAAAAAATCTTTCCGGCAGTAACTCAATTCTGATCTGCACTCCCACTCAGAGCACCATTTAGAATTAATTTTTGAAGTTCATTTAAAAAGTGAGAATTTGGACATCTTCTTATTTATCAGTATAAATCAGAGTTTCTCCACAGCTGCTTCTATGGGAAACAAAATTAGCCACTTCTCCCACAGCCTCATTAATACTGACACATATACAGAGGATTATCACAGCTTCTCTCATACATATTAAAAACAATTAAATTTCCCTATCCAGCATGGTTAAGGAATATAAACTTAAATGAATCAATTGCAACAAATAACATATGTCCTTATTAAGTTAAAATAGTCTCTAAAGCTAGATATCTGGTGCAAGAGACAAGAATAGTTTTCTAACAATTAAATACATTTAATTATGAATAGGACTCAAATACTCCACAGACAGATAGCTTTCACTAATTGATCATAATTTTTTGTAAGCACCTACTATGTGCTAAACATTATGCTAGGCCTGTGAAGACCTGATCTCTACCCTTGTAAAGAAACTTGCATTCTATCTGGGGAACCAAGCCTAACCCATGCAGAACACTTAGAGAACATCATGAGAATAAATAATTGCTCAATTTCGTGATATGGATATGTTAAATTTAATTAGGACAAATGAAAATTTTATACATGATTTCAAAAAGTCCATTTCACAAATATCAGACACGGGAAGCATGGAGACACAGCAGCTGGGGCAGGGGGGGAACCTCCAGGTTTTAGTTGACTTCAAGTTCAGTCTGAGCTAAGAGTATGTGATATGGCAGCCCTAAAACACTAACATGATCATAGGTGGCATTAAAAAAGGAACTGTCTGGGACGAGGGAGGCAGTAATCCATAGCACTTTATGGTAACAGCAGAAATAGAATACTGACTCCTGCTGGGAAGCGGCATTTTAAAAAGCTGCTAAGCAGGAGGCTGTCTGGAGGAAGGCATCAAGGACTCAGGACCATGTCATATGAGAATCAGTCGAAGGAATTGGGGGCGTTTAGTCTGGAGAAGAGAAGATTGAGGGCGGGGGGAGGGAAACAGACCACGGAGATGACCAAGCTTGCTTCACTTGGCCCAAGAGAGCAGAGTCAGAGGACACTTAGGGGAAAGCTTCCTAACAATCAGAGCTCCACAGAAGTCGAACGTGGGATGGGAGGCATCAGGAGGCTCTCACTGGTTCTTCAGTGGACACAGAGGCCACAGAACCCGTTCAGGTACAGACCAGACTAGCTGGCCTAGGGCAGGCCCTTCCAAATCATACTCTCTGACTGCTTCAAAAGTTCAGAAAAGCTATAAACCCAGCAAATCTGTTCCTGGCACTTTCACACAAGCCTCAATGCTGGAATGACTTAGAATGTGGAGCAAAGGGAAGGCAGAACAAGGAAGGCATAAGCACAGGCTTGTGAAAATTAAAGGGATTGTGTTCAATGACAAACAAGTGCAGAAACGCAGAGAGTGTATGGAAGGAAGGTCTCAGAGGACAGCGGAAACCAGGGCTGCCTCAACGGTGCGGCCTGAGGCTGCAAGACCAACCAGGAGGCCCCAGGCAACGCCCTTAGTTTTCCAGAGGATGTTATGCACAAAGTACTGTTTCAGGGATTGTTCTAAAAGCAGGAAGAACACCACAACTCTTGGCTCCAGCACCTCCACAAATACAAGAGAAAATAAGGCACCGGCATGGTGTGCTCTAGATGTCACATGGACAAGGAAATCTAAGTTTTATAGGCAAACATGAAATGAACGTTATGCTGGAAAGGAAGTTCAGAGAAGTACAAAAGAATGGTGTCTCTATTACACAGGCTAGCTACTGGTCCAAAAAAATGGCCTTCATCAAGGCCATGGGGAAATGTTTGACTTGAAAACTTTCAACTCAGCTGAATTAAGTTAATATTCTAATATCTGTGAGCCAAACATGAGATTACTTTAACAAATGTGGGAAAGTAGAAAGAGGCCTGGATTTAGAGTGAGAAGTCCTGGGTTCAAATTCTGACGCTGCCACTTACAGTTGTGAAGTCACTGAACTTCTCTGGGCCTCAGTTTCTTTATCTGTAAAACAATAAGTTTGGTCCCTTCCAGCCCTAAACTTACGCTCCTACGACTGGTTTTATAAAATTCAGCAAAAACTAAACAGCTATGCAGTACTTTCCCTACAAGGAGAGAATGACTGCCTAAGCACAGGGGATAAGCTGGATAATTCCAGTAAGTTGGCGGGCTGCAAGGCCTGGAGATCTGAGAGTGGCTGCCCCCCAGTACTTGGAGCATCTCACTCTGACGCCTCCCCACACCCCACTGGCCCAGACACTTTTTTTATGATAAAACCTGTCTTAGAATTTTTGTAGCTTTGGAGGCCAAGACCTGCATTTCACATGTACTTTTAACATAAGCCGATTTTCCTACTGCTGGTTTCAACTGTGTCCAGTTCAAACATATGGAACACCAGGACCATGTGTCACCTCCAGCCAGTCTGTTCAGATGCCGTTTGTTTTACAATAATCATTATGAACAAGCATTCCTGATTTTGTTTTACTAACATTTATCTTTCATTGGGATACACGTGAGAGTGAGCAGGGGAATTCTTCCCACCACCCAAAAGCTGGGATAGTGATAAATATGACACCCCAGCGGCTATTATCCCCACAGCTACCCAGGGAAATCCTAGATCCCTCTGGTAAAACCAGAGACAAAGCAGAGATTGGGTTAAGAACACAATGCAGGGTTTTCACAAACATACTAAAAGAGAAAAATCCCATGAGGCTCCTATTTATCCTACACTCCAAATTTCATTCCATTTTTTAAAAAAATCGGCATGGTCTAGTGGCTAAACGAACAGTTTGGATCCTCCAAAATCAGTTAGGAAATTCAGAATGATCACGTAAGAGCGTCTCTATAAATAAACTGTGGGCCCCAGGGCCGCAGGGTCTCCACAGACAGCCATGCCCCGGTCCTTACCCTGTGCTGCCCATAGCAAGGGGGAGGTGAATCCAGCCCAACAGACTACATTGTTTCTCCTTGCCCCCCATTCATGCCAAAGCACATGCCCACCTTCTGGACTAACCAAAGAAACGACTTCCTGCCCCACACACCGCAGCCCCTCACCCTTAGCAGCAGGCAGTACTGGGGGCCACCTCGCTATGCGAACAGCTGCATCTTAAAGGGAGCAGTATGGGGGGGGGAAGGAGGCAACAATGTTCCAGTGTTTTGTTTCTTACCAGTTTATAGCACCCGGGTCAATTTCTCCCAGCCTGGGGCCGCCCAATCAGAAAAGCCGGGGTGGGGGAGGGGATGAGGGGGGCAAGGTGAGAGGAGAAGCGAGTGCCGGGGAAGGAGCGTCTAAGTCCGAGACCCCGAGACCCCGGCTCCGGCCAGCCACAGGGGCTGCAGGAAGAGAAGAGAACACAGGGAGTCATGAGAAGGCAGTGTCTCTGCCTACTGACTGGGGCGAGGGGAGAGACGAGCTGTCCGAGCCCCCCCCCCTCCCGCCCCAAAAAAGGTGCCTGAGCCCTTTCCTCTCTGGGGAGGAGACTTCAGTGATGAACACGCATTGATGGAGCACCGAGATCATACGGTTTGGGGCTGGCAGACGCTTGGAGATCATCAGCAATGTGCAGTGAGTGAAGAGCTCAAAAGACCTGGGTTCGAATCCTGCCTCAGACCTCTTTGTGGTCCTGAGCCTCAGTTTCCTCTTCTGTAAAATCAAGAGAGAGGTGACCCGGTGACCTCTAAGATCTTGCTCTAAATCTACGATCCCAGGATCTAGCCTCCCCGTTTGACAGATAAGGAAACTGAGGCCAAGGAAGGCTATAAGAGACTGTAGTTGGCTGAAGAAGGATTCGAATCCAGGGCGAACCCAGGGGTGACAATGGCACCCCCCGCCCCCATTCCTGGAAGCCCGGCTGGGGCGGAATCCCGAGCGCACGCCGCCGTCCCAGAGCCCGCGCGCGCGCCCGCGCTGCTGCCCTCCCCCTCCCCACCTGCCTCAGGGGCGCGCATGCAAGAGCGCGCACGCGGGGCCGTAGGGCGCGCGCCGTGTCCGGCAGCACGCGGCGGGGGGCGCCCCAGTGGCTGGAGCGGATCAGCGCGCGCCGCTCAGGCCCCTCCTCACCTGGGCCGAGAAGAGGCTTCTCCGCCCGCCAAGAGTCCGTCGCCGTCGTCGCCGTCACTGCCCCCGCCGCCTTGGTCCTCAAGCACCAAGAGGGGAGCCCGAGCTCCAGAGCCCTCGTCGCCACCGATGCCACTCGCTCCGTTACCACACTCGGCACATTCGCCTCGCGCTCCGCCCCTGCGCCCGCCCTATTGGCCGTCGCCCGCCGCCCCGCTGGCCCCATTGGGTCGAGGGGGCTGCCGTTCAGCCCCAGCGATGGAGAATCCCTGACTCGAATTGGTCCAGAGGCGAGTGTCTCCCCGCCCCCCCAGTTGGCCCTTCCCGGCTGCTGGTTGGTTGTTGTAAACGTCATTCCGCCCCCTCGCTCCGACCCTCTGATTTTCTGGCGGGGTCCCCCCCGGGGTGGAGCATGACCACTACGGAAAGGCTGTCACCGATTGGCTAAAACCAGGCTAAGCCAGTCCGGAGCTGAGATTGGCCCAGGGGCTATTACGGTCCCCACGTGGGGGAGGAGCCCGGGGCGAGGAGTACCTTGGGGGGGTTTGTTTACACAGGCGCTGGTCCTGCTCATGGTTCTATTGGTCCAAGGGGCTGCCATTCTGATCTGGATCAACCAATCAGTATTAAGAAGGCTCTGAGTTAGGGGGCGGGTCTTGATGGGATTTCCCTGGCTGTCAAAATTGTAAAGAGAACGAGAAGTGACTTCTTGGCTTCACTTGCCAAGGGGCAGCCGGGTGAGAGGAGCGGGAGCTCCCCTGCGCCGGGCAAAGGCATGGAGGGCTTCCGTCGCGCCCGTGGCAGAAACAAGAGTAGGCTGCAAGGGCACCTCGACGTGGCTGAGAGATGGGCACTTGTTGCAAAGGCTTTCTGTAAATCTCCTCCTTCGGACTCGTGTTAGGCAGCGGGGTGGTGCAGTGGTTAGAGCGCTGGCCTGACAGCTCGACACTTAGCTACCTGATGCGTGACCCTGCGCGTCAATTCACCGAACATCTCTCTGTCTCAGCAGCCCCGCTCTGGAAGAGGAGAGTAATAATAGCACCCCTTCCTCCCCCCTCCCTTTGCACGTCCCTTAACCTCAAAGAAGCTCGGTTTCCTCATCTGTAAAATGAAGGGATTGGGCTTGGTGACATCCAAGGACCCTCCCATCACGAAATCTGTGGTTCCAGGATCAATATTAGTCAAAGCCAAGATGCCTTCCTTCTTAGATTATCTCCAGTTTAGTTTGTGGTTTGCACGTTGTCATTAGATTGTCCCCCCCTTGACCTCTGGGACGGTCTTTTGCCTTTATATTCTCAGCACCCTGTCTGCACACAGTAGGCATTTAATAAATGCTCCTTAACTGACTGATAGACAAAGATACAGCTTTGAGGAATAAGGAGGTGAGAGCACCATCGTTTTCTGCCGGAGTCAGACCATATGTTGTTCAGGGTGCCACATTTTAGGAAGGCTATTGATATGATGGGGAGCATTTGGAAGCGGGCAGCCAGAATGGCAAAGGGTCATTCTATGTGAGAATCACTTGAGGAAACTAGAAACGTTTGGCCTGGAGTAGAAAAGACTTGGAGTGGACGTATAATGTCCAAGAGGAATTTACTTATTTTCCTTGGCCATAAAGGTCAGACCTAGGAGCAATGGGGCAGAGGAGTTGCAAAGCACCAAATTTAGTCTTGACCAAGGCAAAAGTTCTGAACCTTTTTGTGTTTGCCTCAGTTTCCTCATCTGTAAAATGAGCTGGAGAAGGAAATGGCAAGCCATTCCAGTATCTCTGCCAAGAAAGATCACCTTTGTCACAAAGAGGCAGACAAGACTGAACAACAGCTCCTTATCACTTCTAGGATCAAATAAAAAATTCTCTGTAGTGCAAAGCCCTTTGTAACCCAGCCCCCTCCCTCCTACCTTCCCAGTCTTCCTCTTCCTCATATACTCTTCAGTCCGGTGACACTGGCCTCCTTGTTCTTCTCACCAGCTGCTGTATCTCCTGAGTGGCCCTCTGCCTTCCCTTAAGTCTCAGCTCAAGAAGCCTTTTCTGATTCCCCTTTAGACTCTTCCCTCTGTTGATCACCTACAATTTGTCTGTGGCTTGTTTGTACATTGTTGTACGATTTGTACATACATGGCTGTTGTTTCCCCATTAAATTCTATGTGAGCTCTCTGTGGGCAGGAACTATTTTTTTGCCTTTCTTTGTATCCCCATCATTTAGCATAGTGCCTGGCACATAGTAGGTGCTTAATAAAAAAAATGTTTATTGAGTGTCTGATGATCCCGCAGGTATCTTTTACATCTTTTGTGGGTTTTGTGAGATGCAATAGTGGCTGTCCTGAACCCAGTGTGTATTTGGTACCTTGAGTACGTGAACTGGGGACTCATATCCTCATTTGGGGAGATCTGAGCCTGAGTCACACCACGAGGATAAGTTCTGGAGCAATTCCAGATGGCAGCAATGAGCCAAAGATAAGAAATAATCCTCATGGAGGTCACCCCCAGTCTTGGACTCGGTCCATGTGAAGTCCAGAGTCTTGGAGCCAGCTTGAGCTGGTATCTTTACCAGCTCAAGGTATCTTTAAATGCTTATATAATACTGGGAAGTGGTCTTGTAAAGAACCAGTCACCTGTTTGCCTTAGATAAGTAGCAGTTTTGCCTGATAAGCAAGGGGGAAAACTGCTGATGTAATTTATCTTGCTGTGCAGTACCATTTGACCGGGAAGGCAAACAGCAGCCGCACAGTTCACGTGCATTTCTCTGTTGTAGGCCAGTATATTTTTTGGTTTGGTGTTTGTAAGGCTGTGGTGAGAGCCTCTGATTCCTTAGAGGCACAGAAGAAGACAAATGTTTTCATACGTGGCCAAGGTGTGGGTTTGATTTGTTGCAAGGGAAGGTTTAAAAACAGTGCAGAGGGAATGAGACAGGAATTGGGAGGAGATGGAGGATTGTGGTCAAGCTACCAAATGCTTAAGAAATATCAGTAGCTCTCCACTGGAAGGGTCAGGTTTATTTCTGAAATATAATACAGTCAGTTTAGAGCTTCAAGGATTCACCTGGTCCAAACTCCTCATTTGACATTTATGACACTTACCTTATTCACACTGATGACAAAGCTGAGGCTCCCAGAAGGAAAAGGCTTTGCCCATGGTCCCATAGCCAGTGGTGGCAGAAGTGGAATTTAGATCACGCTCCTCTGACTCCACATTTACCATTCTCCTAATAATAACTCCCTGATGTGTATTCGCCCAGAGGCAGGGGGTCTGCTGCTCATACAAAAGCTGATTGGAATCTTCTGTATTACATGTCAGGAGGAGGTTGTCCCCCAGGAGTTCAAGGATGCCTCTGTTGTCCATCTCTGTAAAGGTAAAGGAAATGGGTTGTACTGTGACAATCACAGGGGGCCTCTCTCTTAGTCGCTGCTGGCGAAATCCTTGCCAGAGTCCTTAATAGGCTGATCCTTCACCTGGACCATGGTCATCTACCCAAGAGTCCTTGTGGCTTCAGAAAGGGCCGAGGAACGGTCGACACGGTGTTTGCTGCCCAACAACTCCAGGAGAAATTCCAGGAGCAGAACAGAGGTCTGTACACAACGTTCTTCAATCTGACCAAGGCCTTTGATACTGTCAGTCATTTGGGCTTGAGGAAAATTACATCAAAAAGGTCATCACTATTGTAGATCAATTTCATGACGGTGTGTTTGCCTGGGTTCTAGATGATGGACGATGCTCTTGCACTTTCCCAGTCACCAGTGGAGTGCTCTTTAGCGTGGGATAGACACAGCATCAAGGTGAGCGACTACACTGATTGTAAACTATTTAACTTGAAAAGGCTTCGAGCCAATACTAAAGAGGAGGGAGTGTTGGTGCACGGCTTTTTAATTGTAGATGATTGAGCACTCAGTGCAGCCTCTGAAGCTGAGAGGCAACAAAGTATGGATCGATTCTCTGCTGCTTGTGCTGATTTCAGCCTAGCAATGAACACCAAGAAAATACAGGTGCTCCATCAGCCAGCACCGCACCATCCATACGTGGAACTATTGGTTATAGCAAATGGAGAAGTTTTGAATACCGTGGCTAAGTTCACTCACCTTGGCAGGATACTTTCCAGTGATGTTCACATAGATGATGATGTTGAAACATGAATCGCCAGAGTTAGCTCGCTGTTTGGGTGGCTTCAAAGGAAAGTGTGGTGAGAAGAGGTAGTAGACTGCCTACCAAACTGAAGGTTTGCAGAGCTGTTGGGTTGACCTCATTGGTGTATGCCTGTAAAACCTGGACGGTTTACCAGCACCGTGCCAAGAAACTGAATCGCTTCCATTTGAATTGTCTTAGGCAGATTCTGATGATCACCTGGCAAGATAAGGTACTAGACACTGAGGTGCTTTCTCGAACTAAATCGCCAAGCATTGAAACTTTGCTGCAGAGATCCCAACTCCAGTGGGCTGGCCATGTGGTTTGAATGCCAATGTATGTTTGCCTAAAAGACTATTTTACAGAGAACTCACACAAGGCAAGCATTCACAGAAAAAGCAATACAAGGACACTGTCAAGGTCTCTCTGAAGAACTTTGGAATCAGCTGGGTGACATGGATCATGCTGGCAGAAGACCACTCAGCATGGCGTGCCCGCATCAAAGAAGACACTCTGCTCTATGAGCAAAACAGATTTTCAGTAGCTCAAAAGACATAAGAGATGTGCAAATTTAGAGACATCTCCACTCCAAATGTCCAAATGGACTATTTGTACCTGCCCGGTGGTAGAGCGTTCTGAGCTCATATTGGTCTGGTCAACGTGCGCCAGACACACTATACCTTGATTCTAACGTGGAGATGTCATTGTGGTCTTCTTCAAGAATGGAGGACAACCAGACAACCAACCAACTTGCCCAGAGTAGATACTGGATTGGATTGGATTGGATTGAATGTGGCCCGTGGGAGAGGGGTGAAACCTCATTTTATGTGCTAGTTTTTCTTCCAGGGAGGCCCTCCTGCATCCCTCTGCTTAGGGAATGATCTCCTTTTTGGCTCCCAGCTCCCACTGGCTTGGCTTAGCCACCACGCGCTCCCGGAGCCACATTCTTAGGAATGTCTGATGGACTGGCGAAAGGAAATACAATTTCAGAGAAGAAACAGTCCCAAAAGACCTATGAAGCTGAATATCAATTATTCTGGGGGAATGGTTTAGGTTTGGTTGTGGTTTTGAATGGTGTCTGCCATCACCACAGCCAAGACCAGATCTTCTTGCCAAGTGGTCCCAAGCCCTGCTCTCTATCATTGGTCCAGCCCAGGAGGGTGGAGGGAGGACAGAAAGGGGAGGAAGAAGGGAGTGGAGGTGCAGACATCGAGGATTACAGAATGCCTGGGGAAAGCAAGAGTGCCGGCAGATGCCCAGCGGGAAATTCCTGTTTGGTTTTCTAATGGGGAGGGAGGGAAAGGAGCAACGGCCTTGCCCTGGCTTAGGGAAACAACCCATAACGGCTCTCTGCCAAGTCAGCAAGAGAGACCTGTGCAGGGGAAGGATCAAAGGCTCGTCTGCTTGTCTCTGAAAATGAACCA